AATCACGTTCAGGATCAAACAAATCTTCGATATGGCAGGGAATCTGGTGTGCAGTACGCATATACCTCTTCCAGGGTCCTGCCTGATGAAAAGCTAAATCACACTCTGGACATTTGAGTTCAGGTGCCTGGGAAATCGAGGCTGAAGCCGAGGGTGTAGGTTGCAATTGGTTGTCAGGGTATGCTGGGGTCAAAGCACATATATCTTGTTGACCAATCTGCATGGCTTCAAGGATCAGGGTTTCACGGCGTCGACGCAGTGAGTCGTTCAGACGAGCTTGCTGTCGAACAAAATAACACCATGGAGGTTCAATGTGCATACGTGTATAGAATTCAGTGTTGTTTTTACGGGTCAGGTGCACAGGGGATCTGGCCATGGTCCTATGATGTTTGGTGATTAAGCCATTAATCATCTGAAAGCTACGTGCTGAAATCCCCATCTCATGTATGCCATATGAGATTGTGGGTAAAACACATTGGTTATACAACCGAAGACGAATTGTCAATGGATGATGTTGATCCAGGAGCCATTTCCTCAAGATACGGAAGCAAACATTGGCAGCTTTGACTCTGCGAACGACTGTGTCATGATCGAATGCCCGATAGCTCAGTGTGACACCTAGATAGTCTGTCTTGCTGACAAGAGGAAGGCTAAAGGATTGATCTGGCAGGTGCAATCGAGGTCCTTCTTTTGTTCTCGACGTCCATCGTTTCAAAAACGCCTGAGCGGACTTTCCCACAAGGCGCATAATGGCAACACTTTTGGTCAGATTGACCCTGAAATGGAAAGTCTTGAGTGTACCCAGCACCACAGCTAGTTCATGCAGGGCCGACAGGCCCGAGGCTGGACTATCGATGAGCCACCTAAGGTGGATGTCGTCTGCATAGATGACGATATGGGAAGTGATCCATTGCAGATCGAAACTGGCCATCAGATGGTCGAGTATCAGGTACATACTCAAGGTCCAGAGCAAAGGGGCATCTTTGGACCCCTGCTTTATACCCCGGCTGGCTGTGACGTGTCCAATTAAATCCTTGTGGGGTATGCAGTACTTATGTTTATGCTGCCACGACTGAACAAGGAGTTGAAGGTCAGGGTTCATCTCGAATCTTTGGATGGCATGAAGAACTAAGTTTCTGTCAATAGCATCAAAAGCCTTTTCTAGATCGAGTGAGACCTGGAGGCCACCCCACAATCCAGACTTGAAAGGGTCACTCTTGTGGTGTTGGCACAATGCTTTGACCTGTCGACAATGTTCAGAAGTCAGCGGGAGACAATCCTGTGTGCCGCGGCGCGGTAGGTAGGCAAACAGTGGAACCCGGCAAAGAGATGGAAGTGCACTTGAGGCCAGGGGGAGAGGTCGAAAGCTAGCCGAATCGCACCGGATGTACTAGTTACATAGTCGGCAAAGCATGTAGGGATTACATGTTTTGGGAGGAAGGTTGCTATGTACAGACTTTGCGCTAAAGAATGTAAATGTGACATCGCTGACTGGGAAGGGTACATTGGAACAACCCGGGTGCACTCGTTGGCAGGCACGAAGATGCGTGATCGGCAAATATGGGGGGTAAATTTACCCTCCGCTTTTGTATGCCTTGAGTCGGAAAGAGGGGTAAGCATTTCTGACATCATACGGACTGTACATACACTAGGGCGTCCGTAGTGTAGGAGAAGCACGGGTAAAAGGTATATGGAACAGAGTGTCTTGAGGAAATAGCCGGTGTATGGTTATTGCAAATCTGGGGGGTAAATTTACCCCCCGCTTATGTATGCCTTGTGCTGGAAAGAGGGGTAAGCATTTCTGGCATCACAAGGACTGTGCATACACTAGGGCGTCGGTAGTGTAGGATAAGCACTGGTAAAAGGTATAAGGAGTAGAGTGTCTTGAGGAAATAGTCGGCTTATGGTTATGGCAAATCTGGGGGGTAAATTTACCCCCCGCTTATGTATGCCTTGAGCCGGAACGAGGGGTAAGCATCACAAGGACTGTGCATACACTAGGGCGTCCGTAGTGTAGGATAAGCACTGGTAAAAGGTATATGAAATAGAGTGTCTTGAGGAAATAGCCGGTGTATGGTTATAGCAAGCCTGGGGGGTAAATTTACCGCCCGCTTATGCATGCATTAGGTTAGAAATAGGGGTAAACAACTTGTAACGGTGAAAAACAAGTCCTATGCAGCAAGCAGCCAGCAGCAACCACCAAGCAGCAGCCAGCCAGCAGCACCACGCAGCAGCAGCGCAGCATCAAGCCGCAGCAGCAGCAGCACCACCGGCAGCAAGCACCACCGGCAGCAAGCAGCAAGCAGCAGCAGCAAGCAGCAAGCAGCAAGCAGCAGTAGCAGCGGTGTCGTCAGCAACAGCAGCAGCAGCGCCAAGCCGCAACAAGTAGCAAAGCAGCAGCTACAAAAGCGGCAACCAGCGGCAGCAGCAAACAGCAGCAGCAAGCAGCAGAGCGGTAGCAGCAGCAGCACCCTTTACACCAAGCCACCGTTTACACCCAACCAACCACGTTCACACGTTCAACCAACCCCCTACACGGCGCAGCTGGGAGTTGAACCGCGGGGGGGGGGGGTTAGCTTGATATATCAATCTTTAAGGCACACAGCCCCTCCCACCACAACATTGCTAAAGCAAAGAAGAACTCAGCTAGCATGCTAGCTTTCGTGACATGATCTAACATTTGTTCACAATGGATGCCCGTGAGTACCTTACTGACTGGGTGCTGAAGGCAGATTGGTCGGAGCGCAGCTGGATGATTGGGAGATTTATTTGGCTTACTAAGGAGGTGCAGCCACCCCGTGACCCAACGTGAGGGGGGAATACCCGACTGAGTCCAAGCACATTCGATGGCGGGATAAACAACTGCTGCAATGTCATGTGCGAAGAATCTCCAAATCAATCCTGGCATCCCATCCGGAGCCAGTGCCTTCGTGACTGGAAGTTTGGAGAGTGCCAATGCAACCTGATCGTGAGTGAATGGGATGGAGTTCAACGGAGCAGGTGCTAACTCAAAATTCTCATCATGAAATATGGTGCCAAAGTGATCAACAAGGGCAGCTAGTTCCTGGTGCGGAAGGAGAGGGGCTCCAAACTTATCATGTAACTGTATCTTACGAAAAGGCTGCTTTGGACAGAGTTTACGGATGTTGCGATACCAATCGTGCATACGATTTGACAAAGCATGGGGAACATTATCTTTCAAGAATTGCTCTAGCTTGAGTCGTTTATTGATCTTACCAAATTTACGAATCTGAGCATGCAAACGCGCAAAGATGGTGAGGTGTTTCCAACTGTGGAATAGTGTGCGAACATGAACGTACAGCACCTGTCTAGCCTGTCGACGTGCATGCCACATACGGGCCGTGAGGGATACCACAGTCTTGTCAGAAGAAAATGGTTTTTTCTGACGAGGAAAATGCTCAAGACACAATTCTCGAAGTTCATGTTCCATGGAGTAACAGTTGTCAATCGGATGGGTCAAGCAGGGGTACTGATGTCTGAGGATACAACTTTGGGCTTCCTTGACGAATTGTCTCCATGAGGTTGTGTCTGCGATCATCTCCTGTCGAAGACGAAAACGATCGATGGATGGTAGTTTCGAAGGAGCGGATCTGACCGGATGCCACCGGGGAAGACCAAGCAGCAACGGTCGATGTTGCGGTCCCTGATGCAAACCAATGCGCTCAAACCGACAGTCGATTGAAGCAGTTAAGTGTTTCCACCTAATCTAATTGGATCTCATGAAAACGAAGTCTATTCGGGTCTGATGGCTACCATGCAAGAAGGTGGGAACATATTTCTGCTTGCAATGAACGGCAACCAAGGACAGATTACGGATCATGAGTTAGAAATCATGTTTATCAGTTTGGAGTGCCTAATCAAAGCGTGGATCATGATTGCCTATGGACTGCGAGTCATGTTGCAACAGACAATTAAAATGACCAATAACAACCATCATGTGGCTTTGAAGAATACGTTAAATACACTAACGGAATTTCTCCCACAGGTCCTACCTTTCTTGCAAAAGGGCTCGGCTTGGCTTGGTCGTATTCCAGGCCGTCTAATATATTGTGTACACATCATGGATTCGGTCTAGCATCAAGCGAAGATGCAACAATCTGCCTAGAATCAATACTATATATGCCAACATGGAAGCACGGATCAAAGTTTTGCGGACCATGATAAACTGGCTTGCAACAACCTCTTGGCAATGAATGCAATACCAATGTTCAATTTTCCATTGACCATTAAACTTCCAGTTGGATTCTTAAATCAAGAATACGTCTTCAAGTCGGTCCGTGGCCCGCAGGCTAACCATTCATAGTAATTCAAGCTTCGTATAGCATTCCATAAGAGAATCTTCAGAATAACTCCAGATTGTTATGCCGATCGAGACGGAAATTACAGTATTAACCTCTATATTTCAACCTTCAAAAAACCTCGCAATCGAAATAACACATCTAAATCCTTGAAGCATCTGCCATAATAATAAATATGTCCAATTATTAATACATGTTTGCATGCCCTACGAAATAATCGTTTAATGCGCCATATTCGAGACTAATGCACCAACTAGCCGTAAATTTCATTGGCTTTCGTACATATCGTAATAAATGCATAAGAATGCATCGCATTTTCACCAACCCATAAAGAAAGATTAATAATCTTTACGCCAAATTCGAATCCTTATAATAAACAAGGTAATACATAAAAATTCAAATCTCCCGAATTTAGGACCGAAAAAATCCAATTCTATAAATATTTGTTATATCAAAGCAACCATAAAAAATATCGACAAAAACCACATGCCAATCTATAAAAGCAAAACCACAAAAACCATAACAATTAGCCCCCGGGCGCGACCGCGGACACTTAAATTGGAAATGGCGCTTAATATTTTTATTATAATAATATATATTCTTTATATAATTCAAAATATCAAAATATTGAGTATATTTTTATTAATAATTTAATTTAATGAATATTTTATTCAATAATATTTATTCGGAATTAGAACGTGGGAAGAAATTCTTCGGGATGTAAGAAAGTGCCAGAAAACAAATAAGATTAAACATGGAACCAACGGCGAATGGCAAGAAGAGTAGTGTTGGATGCCTGCTCATAGCAAAAGAGAAGATGCCCTGGAAAAGCGGTGGCATCAGGATCCTTGTCAAAGAATCAATCTGACATGTCAACGAATCTAAAGAAGTTGTCCTTCATAACATATTGCAAATTGTTTGGAGCACATCTATAAGAGGAGATCCGGATCTCAAATTCACCCAAGAAATCATTTGCAGAAAAGTTACAAATACAGAGAGCATCAATATTATAGGTCAAAAGTCAAAACCCCAAATAAGCAAAACATAGCAAAACCAACTTCTGAGAGATGGCACCATTGACCTACAATTTTCCTGGATATTTGTGGACAACAAACAAAACCAACTCGTGAGCCGAGAGTCAAAACCAAGGACTGCACTGCTTGTAAAGCTCCAAGTGCCACTCCTGGCGTCATTCCCTGTACCATATTGTTAAGCTTCCCTAAAAATCTGGAAACCAAATCATTCATGCGAGCGCTTCTTCAAGGAAGCTCCCCAGGCGGCGGGAGGAGCTTCCCTGAAGACGCATGAGCTATCCTCCGTCCATATGTAGTAGCCAACTTAGCTTATTTCTCTTTATTTATCCTCAATTGAACATGCACCTACTTATATAACAAAATAGGAAAGTAGGGCCTCGGGCCAAGAAAAACAGACTCTCCTGGCGTCATTCCTTGTACCGACTCTGATAGGTTGGACATGAGTGCTTGGATCGCAGGGTTGCCCACGTTGCTCAAACCTGAGGTGATGCAGGCCAGCATCAACCATATGGGAGTGGGTGCCAAAGAGAAAGCCACCAGGTTGAAAGTGCCTGCTACGAGGGAGAAGGCAAAGAGACCACGTAAGCCGAGGACACGATGCAGCGGATTGATCAGCATCAGGTTCACAATCGCATTGCTAAGGGTTGTGACTGAGATGAAAGGGGCGAAGTTTTGCATCTGGAAGCCAAATCTTGCCTTGCAGTACAAGAAGCTCAAAGAATTGATGCCTGCTCCAGTGCCCGAAGCAATGAAGGCCAATGGCAAGAAGGTTCTCAAGGAGCGGTCAGAACACAGTTTTGAGACCCCCTGCCATCGGTTCAAAAATGCCAGCCGCCCATCTCCCCACAAACTGTTCCTCAATTGAGGTGGAGGCCGTGACTCTGGCACGAAGCAAATCACCGTGAGCACCGCTGAGAGACGAACGCTGGCTAGGAGGAGGACGGCATGCTTGCCATGCATGAACGCAGCAGAAAAGGGTATGACAATACCTTCCAGATTGGAGAATGCCTGCAATCTTCCGAACATTCGAACGCGCTCGTCTTGCGTCGTCATGTCATTGATCCAAAACCAGAATAGCATGGTGCTGGGCACCATGGCAGTGATCATCAAGGCGGCAAAAAAGAAATAGATGGAGATGTTGGCATAAGCCACGCAAAGAAGTGTGATGGTAGGCACCTGCAAAAGTTGGAGGTTCAGGCCATGGCGGCCATGTCACTGAGCAAGTTAAATGAGTGTGGCGGACATGACCCAGTCGTGAGGTTGGTGTCTAAACATAGGTCCAAGGTCCTAGATCTGGGGTCCAGTGTTGGAAACGTGAACTTCAGAATCATGAATAGAAGCGCATGTTAGGTCGGCCACGATTGATGGGTGAGAATTCTAAAGGTCGTATACTGTAGCCTTACTTAATTACAGCCTAATTAGGGCCCCGAGGGGCTCAGCAACATTTGACCATGCTCAACATTTGACATTCCCAATATGCCCTGTTAAGGCCATTCATGCCCAAACCCCTCACCTTCGAACACAAGAAGGAAAAGATCAGCAAAGGTCGGCGGCCGAAGTGATCTGCCGCCGTTCCGACAATGGGTATGCAAAGAAAGCTGCAAATGGCGCCGATCAGTCCAAACATGGAAAACGCTGCAGACGCCTTTGACAAAGCTTCTTGGCACTTCAGGCTCTGCGCCCCAACGCCAGCACACGGGTCGATGCCACCATTCAATGATGCCACCGCCAAGTCAGGGTAGATGAGGCCGACGAGGATGGTTCCCATGTTTTCCAGCAATGTGGCAGTCCAAAAGGCACCCCAGCCCTTCTTCTTTGCCAAAGTCCCCGAGTTATCTCGCACAGACAAGGGGCGCAAGTGGCTCTCGCCGCTGTCTTCAGGAGCTTCCATCTTTTGATTGAGGCTGCGCCACAGCAGCTCTGACATTCGAGTGTGGCCAGCTAAAGCAATAAGATCTCAGCGCTGGAGTATTTGAAAAATAGTTTCTTTCATGCCTGGTCCAACAAAGGATATGCACAACTAAGTTAAAAGTATCTGGTCTTACAAACTTCTGAACTTGTTCGCAACTGCTTTGGAAGTGGACCGCTTGGCAACATTAAAGCTCATTTGAGCCAAACAGGGGCGAATCAAATGACTAGTGCAAGCAGAAAACTCGAAAAATCGGCTTTTGCATACCGAGTCCAGACCTGACAAGTCGAATACTTTCAAGTGCTCTGAGTTGTGGCAGAGTTGTGGCAGTGGTCCATCACCCAGTGGCCATATGGGGAGAAGGACTGGGAGAATGAAAGGCTCTTTGTCAGCTCACTTTTCAACCAATCTTTGGAGCGGATGAAGCGGATCCTGACTACTAAGATCCTGACTAAAAGGATCCGATCTAAAGGAAGATCCGCTAAGAGATACTAAAATCCTTTGAAACCACCAGCTAATCCTTTAGATCCTGATTTATGTACAAAGTTGAGCTACTACGGTATCGCCTTCTTCGATCACTGGCTCAAGACGCCAGCTTCGGTGTGTGCCCGCAAACAAATCAACACCTGCGACTGCAGGTCTTGCTCGTAACATCTCGTAACAATCCATAAACACACACACACACGTTTCGCAGTCTCACACACGTTTCGCAGTGTATCTGTGCGGTTTCTCTTCAACCTCGTCATGGGTGGAATCACAGTCCTCTCTCATTCCAGACCCCACATCATGGAAGTGGCAATGAACTGAGCAGACCTCGGACGATGGCGACTAGCAGACTTGTCAATGGCTGGCTGATTCTTCATGTTTTGTTCCTGCAGTCAATCCTAAACGCATGAGTGGTTTGCTTTGCAAAGATAAGCACTTTACTTCATGAGTAATAGAACCTACTCAGGTCCCTCAGTATGTTGTCTTTTCACCTGAAAGTACCATTGTTTCGATTGTTTCTCAATGCAAGGCGCTTGTTCCAAAACAGCTGAGGCTGCGACTGCTCCTCCAGTAAGAAGGTCAGGGTGGCCTCGCATTCGAGTAAGGCCAGCACTCCCTGAGGGATCATGGCCCCTTGATTCACAGCATCTTCTGGCCATGGGGAATGGGACTAAGCATGTTGGCAGGATTCAATCGACAGGCTACAAGTTTGAAAGGCGCCACCTTACATGCCACCTTCGCCACCCGAACGTGGTACCTTCATGCCACCTTCTGTCACAGCCCAGCCTTCCGCAACAGCCACTTCCGTTGGAAGCAGTCCAAGCCATCGAAGACATTCCGTCCAGAGAGCCGCACGAGGCCAAAGGCCACTGCACACGCGGCGCGCACCAGTGGTTGGTGGTAAATCCTCATCCATCGCAACAGGCGACACGCGCTTTCGGCGGCGACACGCGCAGAAACTGCGGCGGGACACTGGAACAAACGAATGCAAAACAAAGAAATGTCCTCTAATTATTGGCCTCTATCCTTGCTCCACCTTTCATTGGCCCTTTCAAGATGTCTATTGAGTCTAGTGCACTCGGCACATCATCTTTTGTTATGGATCCGAAGAATGCCAACGTGCAGCGGAAACCGCGTCTGCGACTGAACATGACTGAACTGTCCCTCGACAGGCCACAGCAGTCAAACACTGACAACGGCATACGACCACTCGCATCGTCGAACCTGGAACAAAAACGTGGGAAGGACTTGCTGGTGATGTTAGCTTAGCGTCCAGTCACTATAGAGGGTCCGCCTGGACTCCTTCAAGCGCTTGAGATGCAACTCCTGGGACGGAGTCCAGTGAAAGGCAAGACGTTTTCTGTGCATCTTCAACGTTTGCATCCTCGTCATCGGAACGAAGACTGACCTGGAATTTCTGTGATTCTGTTGGATGTCCATGGTCCATGTCATATAATATCATATATATATATATCACTATATATCACTAAAATCATGTAGTGACAACGGACTGAAGGAGTTGCTTTCGACTGGCTCAAGGTTCGTTGGCCTTGCTTGACAAAAAACGGTCAACAAAGATTGTAGCAGTGGCCACGAAGAATATGGCACATTCTTGGTCACTGTCGTTCGGATGATCCTTGAGCGAACAACCCCAGCAACAAAACAACCACCACTGATTTCAACCCACAAATCATCTGTCATTGAAAGAAACACTTCACGCCCAGAAGCACACGTGGCCATGTATGACGTCACTGGACCCACCGAGACCCACTGGGACCGTCGTCGTGCGCTGCGGTCGTTGTCACCTGCATCCTGAGAGCAAAGCTGCGGTCGAAGACCGCCACGCCGACTTCCAGGTTGCGCCGGGCCGAGTAAAGGTCAAAGTTGAAGGAGCCGATGGTGGAAAAAACACCGTCCACACACATGTGCTTTGCATGCCTGAGAGGACAGTTGAACCTAATCATGGACAAAGGAAAGTACAACAGTTTTGTGAGTTGTGTGTGTGTTTTTGAAATCGCGGAAAAGTGACGAACTTCGAACAATTGCGAAATTATGCGAAAGTGCGGGATTGAGAGATCAATAATATACTGTATTACTGTTGTTGTGGGGTGAAGTCGAAGCTGCACTTTTTTGCGTTTTTTGCCACGGGAACACAGAAGCAAAGATATGCCAAAGTTTCACAGTGAGGCTCGATATGATACAACCTACATACACAAGGCCTTTACTAGTCCCCATCCACTGTTACTGGTCATAGAATAGACTTGGACCCCATGCTCTTGTACAAGTGCCCAACTCCCTTGGACATTTGCAAGTCTAGGAGGTGCCCTTTTTCTTCCGGGCTAAGGCCCTTTTCATGCTAAAAAGGGCACCCCCAACCCTTAGACTGTGGCAACTATTCCAGGAGGACTACTGCACTGCACACATAAAATAGCTAGGTCAAGCACCGTGACAGTAATCAGCGATTTCAACTCCTAGAGCGCTACTGTCCTTTCCTATCATTCACTTTAATAATATCCTGAGCACTTTGTGATGCTAATGATTACCACTCAGCATCATGTGCATCACTCGCATCACCAAGACCCTTCAAAACGATTAAAAACATACATTTTAACTACCTGTTGGACTGCCTTTGTTTTATCCCCAACCAGGCTCTGGGTTCACCCTGCCCCTGCGACCAGCTCGTTCGCCCAGGACTCAGCCATGCCTATGCCTGGCAATCGTAATAAATACATAAAACATACTGTAAGCTCGCACAGGTACATATGGCGCTGCTCATAGAGGTGAACGCTCACCTTGTCTTCAGGAGTATCCCTCAGAAAGCTTCGCAAAAAATGCGATTGCGCCAGCAGGTCTCCTAAGTCGCTTGAATCTCAGGAAGGCACCAGCTGATGAGATTGTTTCTTCCGAGCACAAACGAGACCAACAAAACAATTTGATCTCTAAAGGCAAGTGTCCAGGCAAAGGAAAGAAGTCTGAGGAGCCAGACAACAGCAGCGAAAGGTGTGCACCACGAGTTGGCACCCGCCTTGGAACCACAAGTTGATCCACACAAGTGCATTTGATGACAAATCTGAGAAGGAACTTCCCTGCAAAAGGGATCCGCAAAATCCCAAGATGTCCAGAAACCGTAAAGCTGCTGAACTTGGAGCAAGACGCAGCAAAGCCGCCTTCAAGAAAGTCGGCGGGAAGAAATATGCAGTAGTGAGCAGAACTGACCTTGTGCACAGTCAAAATTGATCCATGTCCATCACATCGAATCGTCTTGGCTCAAGCTTCCCTGCGAAAGCGTGCAAACATCCAATTACTTGGTGCTCTTCTGGCGTGTGCCTGTCAGGCAAACTCGAATTATCAGGTTGTTGAATCATTTTGGTTCATATTCAGAGTGTGCGCCAGCTGGGCCCGAAATCGATTCCTGTGCCTGGCCATGTTCAAGGGCACCTGAACCACATCACATCAAACAACTCTAATTTTCAGTTAGTGGAATCTAATCTTCCTGCCCCATTTGCCAATGAGCAAAAATGCTCTGAAATTAAAATTGAACATGTACAAACAAACTCCTCATCATATCTTTTAAGCTCTGGAAACCCAGTTGTATGTTAGCTCATTCATCGTGATAGAATTTGTGGATATATAGTTTTTTCTCGTCAATATACATCATCAAGAAAGCAAAACTTTGACTCCCAGTTCTAATTTGGAAGACTCCCAGTTCACAAAGGAATTGCTTCTGAGCTGTCCAACAAAAACACGGTGATCTCACTTAGTAGGTTGGAGGCCATGGTTTGACATGAATGGATTTTTCCGGCAACTCGAGAGCAACTCTCAGGGCCCACTGGCTCCATCCGGCTGCAGGTGAGCAACTCACTTGCAGCATCGATACTTTTTTGCATGACCTTCTGCAAGGTCCGTCGCCTCTGACGAACATTGGACTGCAAGATCTGCACATACCTGAGTAACGCTCTTTCGGAGACCAGCCAAGCTCCAAAACCGCTGGTCCAATGCAGAGCTAAGAAGGATTTCCAATATGACTTCTTGCATTGGCAAAGTCAAGGAAGGTAAGGAAACCTGCTTGAGATGAGAAATTCAACATATTTCAACAAGACCGTGTCAGACCGTGTCCACACGGTTTCTAAACCACCCAGCCCCCTTTTTTCAAGCTACACTCCAGGTTCCAACAGTTCCGGCACCTGGATTGGGTTTCGATGCACATGCCCTCCAGCTTCTTTGAGGGAGTCCCGGAAGACTTCGGCCAAATCCGCCACGCAGGGTCCTTCCAACCTCGGTGCCACTGGCGAAGATGGCTCATGAGATTGTGGAGTGGATGGGTTGAAACACGACATGTGCCATTTGCTTGGTGCCATTTGCTTGATGCATAATTCTGACAAGCAACTTTGCATGAACATCGTAGAAGCGGCTGGTGCCAAATGTTTCTTCACCCACCTCCTCTTGGATGTTCATGCCACCACCTAATTAGCTGGTGCCGCTGATTCACGCACAATCTTTCTCATTACTATTCTCTTTTGCTAAGCAATTCAGCCGGAGTCAAACGCGCAAAAGATCTGTGCTGAACCTTAAGTCCTGGTGAGACCAGCAGCACTCGGCTCGGGATATTGGAATGGAGACCTGAAGAACACCATTACAGGCCATTCGGAGATCAAAAAGTAACGAACGGCCGCGCTGCGGCTATTGGTATCTCACAAAAAAGGCCACGGCGGTGGCCGCCTTGTGCCCGCTGATTGCGTTGTGAGGCGATTTCGATGGACCCACTTTATCCCCTACAGGATCTGGTTCAAAGGCAAGTCACAAAAGCCCACGTCGTCGCAAATCATAATCTTCCGGTGGTCTCCTCGTTGGGTCTTGTCAGGAGACGACCAGCACAATCTTTCAATGAACACTCTAGGAGAAAAGAAGAGCGCCTCTAGAATCCACAGGTTACGAGGAGTCAGTTTGATTGGACGTGACTATGGAATGCCACGCGCCAATCACCCTCCAGGAATCAACTGCAACCCTTTCAGACTGGATGGTTTTGGTCAACAACTGAGCACGGTTGAAAGATGCTAAAAGGTTTCATGACCGTGAGATCCGTTGCAAACAGCCCCATCAGCATGCCGTTGACCTGCTTCTCCTTGCTTCTCCCATCCCCATCCGTCCACTTTCAAGGCTCGGAAGGAGATGGGGCCCACGCAAAGGCTGGCGGGGAGCACCGGGTTGAAGAACACCACTTCGGCTCCGGCCCTGCGAAGCTCCTGCACCCAGTCCTCAAACGTCGGTGGAGAGAACCGCGATGGACCAAACGTCGGACGGATGGCTTCTTGCGGTTCGGAAAAGATCAAGAATGTTGAGAAGCGAAGATCAAGAATGTTTCTTGCTGCGCTTGGCAAGCGTTCAAAATTGCACCACAACAGGGGTCTTTAGGGATATTCTCATCCAACAACCATACGAATACCTTCTCGGCTGGTTGGTGAAATGCTTTTGACTGTAGCCACTGTAGCCGAACAAGACATCATTGCCAAGGACCAGCTTTTGTGTCTGTTCTGCAAATAGTCACGAAGCATGTGCTCAGCATCTTCCATCTAAAAGATCAATCCTTCCCAAATATGAGTAAAAGTAAATGAAGCAAAAGTGCTCAAATCACTTCAAAGCATAAGGATTACAGTATCTTAAAATATCTCTGAAATCTTGAAAGAACAGCAATTTGTTCCTCGTGTTGTTTTTGTTCACGCCTTTCCCCTTTGGTCCTGTCGCAGCGCGAAGGCACCAATGTAGTCCACCAGCAAGACCACGTCCAGGCCACGCGTCGCCGCTTCACGGAGCGCCATGAAGAAGATCTCGGCCACGCGGCCTCAGAAAAATTCGCAAGATTGGAATGACATATCTTATATCAGAAGTATAAATGTCTATATCAGATATAAATGACAGATCTTATATTCTGATATAAATGTTAAAAATGAAGAATGGACAAACCGTCCGAAGACACTCTGTGTCAATATGTCGAAACGGGCGTCTAAGAAGCGTCCAGGTCCAGGACAACTTTCAAAATAGATATTGTATGATATTGTATTATATGACACCTGGAACAATCGGGAGGATCTCGTTGGTGCAGCACTGCAACACCTTTTTAAATCATGAAGCGAATCTACCATAATCTACCAAACACGGGGGTGATCCATGTCATTCCATTTCCACCAAGTCGCTGTTGTCAAAGATGTAACTTTCGCACCAAACCCGAGTCCTGTCATTCGCAGGACTCCCGTCGACGCCCAGACATCCACCGAAGCGCTACAGTGGCTCAAAGGAGTGTTCTTTTCGGCACATGACAGGTCAAGAGGCTCGGCATGACATGGGAAAAGGCGTATGATTGATATAGACAGCCTGGATAGCCAAAGCTTAAGCACCGCTTGCTTGGGGTGGGCGCGCCCCCATTTCTCGCCCCCAATTTCTCCAGGCGTCTGAGACAAGGAGATGACCTCTAACATTTCCTTGAAGCAGGCATCTCCTCCCTCCAAAGCTTGGACCTCAGCTCGAGACCGCTGGATTGTCTTGGATTGATGTTTCGATCGCCAAAAAGCAGTGGCTTCCTTTCTTGATTCTCTGAAGAGTCGTTTTCTCACCAGTGGAGAAAAAAGGACATTGTCACAAGGTCTCGTGATGAGATCATGAGATCTTGTGACCATCGCTAGTAGGTTGGAGGTCATTGCTATTAGGTTGGAGGTGGGCTAAACAAGTAAAATGAGATGATCACCTTCTCACCTTCTTTCAAGCCACCCGATTGCCCGTGGAGAAATGCCCGTACTTCTGGAAGCGATAGAGCAAGCTCGCCCAGGTCTGTCGGCGCAACTGCAGTGTCTGCTCGGACGCTGCGGGGAAGTTCTGATGTGTGAAGGTCTCATCCACCTGCCGTGGTCTCTCCACGCCAGGATTGCTATTAGGTTGGAGGCCGCTATTGGGGGGAGGTCGGCCAAAGGTTCTCATCCACCCGAACCTGACCCCCCCGACCCGTGGACGCATCGCGGGGCGTGTTTCGAAACACGCTTGGCGGAAGGAGAGGCGTCACCGAATCTCGGTGGAGCACAGAGTCGTCACCCTCTCTCCCAGTCGTGCACAGTCGTCAACCACGGCACCTGGGGTGTTCCTCGTTTGGGGGAGATGGCTCTCCGTCTTCCCGAGCGTTGGGCTGCTGTGGCCTACGCCGTGTTGGTCATTGACCTTCCTGGTTTTGAGCGGTTTTCAGCGAACCTGCCGTCTTCTGATCCCCAAACGTGGCCATTTGTGCCCAAGCCACGCAGTGCAACACTTTTGGCTCACTGTCGAAGACCCATTTGAATGCTTTCGTCGCATTCTCTTGGGCCCTGCGCCCGACACTCCAGATCAACTCCATCCGTCAGTCTGCAGCTCTCTGCCTACTGCAACTTCTCAACCATACCGTCGACTATCCAATGTTTGCCCGGTTTAACAACAAACAGACCGAACATCGATGACATCCATTTTGCTTGTGGCGGTCGAGTTGTTTCGTTATGTATGATTCAACTGATTCAACTCTATGACTATCATGTTTGAATCTAAATGTTTTGGAAAAGCTTGAGCCTGAGGTGAACGACGGGACAAATCTTTTGTGAAACATAAATTATATAGTCATGTACTGCATAACTATATGTATAACTATGACTCATTCACATTACCTTATATGTATGGTAGAATTATGTAGACGTCTTGACCAGAGCACAGCACATGTGAAAACGATATGGGTCAAGTCAGACTTAGAGGACGAACACGCAATACGTCGGTCGGTGTCTTTTTTCCTCGATGTGTTTAAGTCTAGACTAACGTTGGACGCTGATTAGCAAATGGTTCCTCAATAATGCTAAATGTTTCCAAAATTATTCCAGACCCCATGTTTGAAAAAGTTGTCCTGAATACTGCTAAATTTTTTGGGGGACCCTAAAGTTTTTATATTGGACACTTATAAAGGGTTTGAATTCCTTCTGAACCCTGTCCACCTGCACTCCCCCCTCCCTTCGCAGGCAAGCAAATAAGAAAAGTGTTTTCCACTGGAAAAATAGATCTGCTCATGAGATCTTCCTTTACATAGCTCCTAAGGCCAATGATTATGATTCATTAGCTGATATAGGTTTCTCTAGGTTTCTTCAAAACTGACAGCTTTCCAAAACCACCAATTACTGATTAAATCCTTTATATATAAAACATTGCTCCTAAAAAAAATTCAAGGTAGTAGACCAGGAAGGCACCTGATCCTCAACAATAGATTTGTGTTTGGGTTCTCAATTGTGATTTTTTTCCACTGCAAAAAACTGCTCATGGAATCTTCCTTTACTTAGCTCCTGAGGCCAATGATTATGATTCATTAGCTGATATAGCTTTCTCTTGAGCTGAAGATCTGAGGCTGCAAAGCAAAAGGGTTGCTGAGAACAATTACAAAGCACCTGAGAAACGAAGCTGAATACAATCTATGAAAGGAAAATGAATACTACAATCAATTACAAAAAGGAATTCTCACAGGAATCCAAATTTGTTTTGGTGATAGTTTATTATAGAGGATCCCCTGTTTGTTTGAGGTAGGGGGGGGCCCTATTTACTAATCAGGATCCAACATTAGTCTAGACTCTTCGCTCCAGTAATGGAAGACGCTTCGTTCGCTTCGCTCGCTTCGCTCGCTTCGCTCGACGTCGCTTCACTCTTTTTTTGCGAAGTCCCTCTTCACCTCAGCGCAGACATGCTCGAAGAGGAGAACCTCAGAGGGCCGTTCGTCAATGCTCGGAATGCGCCGAGCTCGGAATGCGAGTCTTGACATCGAGGGCTTGGTCTCGGGTGGTCTCGACATGTCTGCGACGTCGATGCGACGTCGCAGCGACAAAAATCGAGACTTGTGGACAAATCTTGCTTCACATGAAGCGTGTACATGTTTGGATGGGGCCTGACAATGGGACGTTTGGACAAACACCCCTGACAATATGTGCAAAGGCTGCAGAGTTTTGCAGCATCTATCATCGTGCAACCCTCACACCAACCCCGGTTTGGTTTCCGGGTGTCCCAAACATATCCAAACATCAACCAGCCAGATCAGCTGATTCTGTCCATGTAGAAACTTGTCCTTTGATGCGAATCGCAGTGCGACCAAGTCACGGAAACGCTAGAAACAGAACCGTTGCTATGAGGCAGGCAGCTCCCACGCAAGCGAAGAACTTGTCCTCAGCGGCGGGGGGGGGGGGAAAGCGACGTAGGTTCCTGCGACCCGGAAAAAACGTGGGGTGGAAGAAGGGATGAGCACCTTCGAATTTGGGATGTTCGCTTCAGGTTTGGCTTTTTTCCCCTCTCGGGTCCTCTCGGAGCACGCATGAGGGTCAGTCCCAGCGTCACTAATGTTCACTTCAGGTTTGGCTGCCAGGTCACCATTCAGCCATGCGGCCCAGTATGGCCCAGTGCGCGGTGAGTGAGGGTTTGATGGGGGTGTTTTTGTCTGCAAAAAGACGGGCGGACGAACTGAGGCCACTGAGGCCGTAACGTCTTTCCAAAACACCCACCGCCATGCAGCCGTGGCTCGTAGTGCCCGTCATTCGGAGAAGACTCAGGGATCCAGTCCTCCCACAACGTCCGTTGAAAGACCATGTGGATCCCGCAACCATGTGAACTCGTCGCGCGTGTGGACGTTTACGCGACTCCTAAACTCTCATTTCAACTCTCTGATCAAAGGCAGTAGGCAGTAGCCCCGGAAAAGGCCACTCCCTAGTACCGCCCTAAGCGTGCAATGAGAAGGACTGAATGATCAACATGCAAAGGGTCCCACACCCTAAAAGCCTCAACAGCGCAAATATAACAAATCTGCAGAGCCCCCTTGCCCATGATGCCCATCCTGTAGCTGCCCCAGTACCAACCCCAACATCGCCACGGCAGCAGCTTGCACCAGGCAGCCGAGCCCGTAGTGCCAAGTTGAAGCAGAGACGAATTCCGCTGATGCCTCAGGTCATCAAAAAAATCCGATCCTCTTTACATGGTCTGGACATCTATGATCATCTAATGGACATCTTGGTCTTTCATAAATAAACTTATTCAGTCGAAAGAACCGGTTCTGGCAGCATCATCTCCTAGGTCCTGATCCAGCCTACTCTGAAAAAAATGGCAGGTGCAAATTTACCTTAAACTGAAGGAGGACCACCTGGATCACTTGAGCTCTTCATTGCTCGTTCCGGAGAATGACGCACGTTGGGTCAGTCCATCGGGTCTTACGTGATGCCAATCGCCCAGATGCCAACAGTTAGGCCAAAGAAACTGCAAATGATTGGCCGATTTGGTCGCACCACGTAGGGGGGTGTTGGCACTGATGTTGGCACCCCTACGGTTTCCCAGAAATGGTTCCGGTGCACCCGACGACGCGTTCCGGCTCCCGACATTTTGAATTGAAGCGCGAAAGAAACCGTCCAGTCTTGCCACTCAGAGGGCGCCCCATTTTTGTTAAGTTTGTTTTCTTAAATTCTCACAAAAGGATGCAAAAGGATTGAAGATTGAACATGATTGAACCAAATCTTGCCAGTCTTACCAGTTTCATTGGCACAGCGGCGAGGAATTGTTCACTTAGCTTCTGCACCCCATAGATCTTTCAGGTTGGATCAAGTCTTCTTGCAAGGCCTACGCAGGTGCCATTGATGGCACAGTATGTCCAGGCTCTGGGTGAACAGCCTCTTTGCTTGCAGGCAAATGACTGGATAAACGAAAGCCTCTGCTGCGGCAATCAGAGCGAACTGAGGCAAAAGCCACAAGACCGTCAAGCTGGAAATGTCAGGGTCTCCTGCACGGCCCAAGACTTGGAGCACGGGAGCAATCCGTGTCTAAACATGGATTGAACACCTGCCATGAGTCAACCCCATCGCTTGCCAAGGCTGGCAAATGCTTCAATCCAACTTTGGAGGGGCATTGGAGCCATCTGAGTCATCTGATTCATGAAGCAAGTTGAAGAACAGCGCCTGCCAGCCTTTGACTCCAGTCTCTGCGCCAAATCTCCACCCCAGCGCTGCAAAACATGCTGAGTGCCGCCAGAAAGGATCCTAGGGAGAGGCCTTGGTGACGCAGGGGGCGAACGAAAGTGTCGATTTGGAAGAAACCCGCCCGCACCGAAAGTGCTGAGGCGTTGTATAGGCTTCGAAGCAATCAACAAGCCGGAATAAGGCGCAAGCTGCTAGATTCCTAGCCTGGGGGTGCATTTTTGTGTCTAGGGGCTTTGAAGCTAAACAAAACATGTATGATTGTCCGTGTGGCTTCGGAATGCTTCGGAGGTAAGCAACCGCGATGCCAGTTATCCAGCCCGGGTGCGGCTGCATTATTGACATGGTGTGTGTGTGGTCGTCCGCGCGTCCAGCCCGACCAAGAGAGACTGACAGACCGAGACAGACAGACCGACGACAGACCAGCTCCGACGGCACAAGTTGCTGCTTCCCACACCAATAACCAACCCGATACATTTACCCATTTACAGTAATCTGTGCGGGCTCCCACCGCGAAGCGGTGTGAATATTGAACCAAAGAAACCATTCGGTCCTTGAGAAACGACTTGAGACAAGGTTCAGTGTCCTTAAGATACTCCAGTCCAAGAAGGTTCAATGTCTCGCCAGCAACATGAAGTCACTTTGATGGCATCGCAGCACGACTTCTCGTCTAACAGAGATTGTTGGTGCCCAAACCAGGCAAAACTCCAAACATATCCAAAAATAGATGCCTGAACCAATATGAACCTATCGAAAGCAAAACTCCGAAACTACCGAATCCATCCCAATCCTATTGACCTACTCTTTCTTACATACCTCGCTTGCGGCAAACAAGTGTCGGGTGGACGGCTTGAGCTTCAGCACCTCAATTTGGGTCGGACCGACCGCGGAGTGGCAACCAAGCTCTCTGGACCTCTTTTGGCTTCTGCAAGCTACTAGCGATGGCCTCCAAACTAATGGCGAACATAAACTAGCATAAAGCATCTTGGCTCCCCGCACGGATGGCCTCCAACCTACTAGCGATGGCCTCCAACCTACTAGTTGCTTTGGTAGTAAGCTAATTCGATCTGATTGGATTGGTGGTCGTAAGGGGACTACGGGAATTCGGTCGTGAAGCACTAAATTGAGGCCAGCCATCCACCATGAATCACCATGAATCATCCGCCCCGAGCGCCTGAAAAGTGGACTTCAGGCCTTCCCAGCAAACAGGATGAGTTCTTTCTTGTTGACCTTTATCTGATCTATCTGTATCTATCTCTTTATCAGCTGTATCTGATCTCGAAATATGGTGCATGTCGCTCGAACTCAGCCATCCCAATAGCTTGTGTCATAAAACCGCCCGGACTGTCCGCCAGAGCACAAAGGTACCACGCAACAAGGTCAACGCTGCCAGACTCATCAAGCGCTCGAATGCCTGCGACGAACAATCAGTCTT